CAAAGTGCAAAAAAATTATAACATAGACAATTTCTTAGTTGAAAAACATCTATCATGACTAAAGAGGCTTAACAAAACATATGGGAGGAGAAACTATGCCAAGTCTAAGGAATAGCATGCCAGCATACATCTAAACCGTTAAAATCTTGAAATCCGTGAACAATGTTACGGAAGGCAGTTGCAATCTGATGAAAATGTAACTCTACAAAGAAACTGCACAAGGATGTGTCGTGACATTTGTGCGATGGGATGCCAGAACTCTAAGAGTAGAAGCATACCTTCTTCCTTCAGCAGAAGTATGCTCTATCCAATCTGTTGGGACTTCCCCAGAGGCTTTTGGCTGTAAATTGGCTGGCTGAAATTTTATGCAATTGTAAGATATAAGATATTTGCACAAATAGCAAATGAATAGTATAAAAGCCATTTTTCAGCAATAATAAACACAAGAAATATAGAAATTGTCTCAGACAGAAATGTTCATTATAGCATTATTTAAAGAACAAAACATTAAAAAAGAAATAATAAAACTTCTTACTGGGACGTTTATGGTGGAGACTGAAGGTTGTTCACATGTGGGCTGCTGAGGTGTAACAGAGACCATGCTCTGGCTGACTGATAACCCCGGTTGCACTCCAGCAGGCACACTTGGTGTACTCACTTGAGTTATGGGCTGATAATGAGTTGCCGTGTTAATGGACATTGGTAGCCCAGAAGGAGGCGGTCCAAACTGCAAAAATATGATATTTCGAAGTTAAATACTCAAGATGCAAAACAATTTGTATCATTAAATATGAAAATGTCCCTAATGCCTTACAGAATATGAAGTGAGTGGAGTTCCTGGGCCACCAAAACCAGACATGTAATTGTTTGGAGTTTGAACATTAGGCTGAGGCAACGATGCTCCAGCATGCATAGGCCTGATTGACTGAGAATTTGGGACTGCCATTGTGTGTGGTAAAGGTGGAATATGACCTGGTTGGCCAGACCTTGCAGGTAACTGCGGCATCATCGGAGAAAACTGGGATGTCTGAGGTTGAGAGGGCAATCCAGGATTCATTCCAGGAACTCCTCTTTGAGCAGGTTGAAAGATCTGAGAAGCCACGGGGATATATTGTGGTGGCGGCTGTGCTGGAACTACTGGTCGGAACTGCACATAAAGCATGACATTCGTTGTGGCTTCGTTTGTTTATATCTGTGTCAATATGGATATTTGTGTACTTACAGATGCATGTCTGTGTGCAAGTGCATCTACTTGTAATTCCTAGGTGAGGACCAAAATCTTTGCGAGGAAACATTACCTGAAAAGACATGGATGGAACAAAACTTCGTGGAGGATCCATCGAGCCAACATTAGGAGGGGGAGGAGGCTTTTCCAGCAAACATAGAGAATAATACATGACATAAGTCCATTGAATGAAATACTTGCATTTTAAAGAGCAAGGTCGTAGATGCAAAGCATTATGTACAATATCAAGGGTATGCTCAATATCAACGTGAAACGACTACGGCAATCTCCCATTCCCACAAATATAATCTTTACCTAATGAGAAAAAGTATTATGGTGCAGTACCAATGAATTTCATACACACTGTGAATTGATTGTAACAAATAAAATAATTAAACTAATTACCAAAGAAAGTTGTTTTTGAAAGTTCTGCAGGTAGTGCTTTTTTTACCTTGTGCCCATAAAAGTTTAATATTTGCTCCTAAGAGATAAGATGGGGAGAAAATTTGAAGATTTAATTCACTTATGATTAATATCTCCAGAATGGATAGAACCAGCAAAAATAGGCTATTCTCTAGCTATAAAAAGTACATAAAGTGCTAAATATCTCAAAACAAAAACATTTCCACATTCTATGGAATGAAAAGTAATAGACCCTTTTAACTTTCAGAAACTATACTTATAGAAAACCACAAATTTCAACTTAAGATTTGCAAAAATAAGAATTCTTTCTTATTTAGAAGTGAAAAGTCCTTCCACTGATTAGTCAATAAGAAGGACTTTTAACATATTAACCACCATGAAAACATAAGCCTCAAGAAGACTTTTTTAATCTTCAAGACATGACATGTAAAAGAAACTGACGATTAGATTCTTCTGCCGTAGATATTAGATTCTTTCTAGTGCATAAACTAGCCAATTTTTCTTCACCTTTCTTATCTATAAGTACCAATTAGAATCTGGCCTCCACCAATGCTTTTTGGAATATGAACACCCGTTTTGAGGTAAACGTATTTGTTTGGACAGTTGTTTTTTTTCTGAAGGAGGTGTAGCCTGTATACAAAGAGAGAAAATTAGAAAAAGACGAGAAGTTTGGAGAGTTGTTCTTAACAGTCTTAACACCGTAGACCTGAGAAAGGAAGGAAGGTGTTGAGTTAGAGCTGTTACTGCAGATCGAGGGCGAGCTTTGCTGGCCAGCACTGCCTACAGGACGTGAAATGTTCCAGCAACTGAGAAGATTCTTGACCATCGAGAATAAGTCTTTCGATGTAGTTTGTGAAGGAAGGAGCAAGGATGGCATTCAGGTCAGTGAGAATGAAAGAGGGGTTAGGACCTCCATCACATTTTGGGTGGATGAAGGCGGAGTTGCTATTGAGTGTTCTCAAAGAATTCTTCTGGTCTAGAGGAAGAAAGGCATTAGGGAGGAACAGGAGGGGATTAAGGCATAACCTTTGGATGGCTTTGGGTCAGAACTAGAGGGCTAGGTATTTGGTTTTGTCAAAGGAGAATAGGGGACGGATGAAGAAAATTTTTGTGTCACAGGGACTGCAAGCAGAGAGATGGTAGCAGATGTTGTCCGGCCTCCAGGAGGTCGTAGGGAAGAGTTTGGCTCCAATTGGTGAGACTTGGTATCACGGATCAAAGGAGACAACGGAGAGTAAGGTAGAGAAAAGGAAAAATGAGACACCAACCTCATTTTGCTGGCCTTTTCTCAGTCGGAATTGCAGGTGAAGGTGGAGTTGAAGAAGAGGCCGAATTTCCCAGAGATGTTAGAGTTTCAAGGGGGTATAGACATCAGGCAGATAAGGAGGGATCCAGATCCAGCTCCGGATCTGATGTTATCCAAATCATAAGCAAAATTCAGAATTCAAATTTTCAAAATAGTATGGGGTCCTGTCATTTCATTAAAGCCCAAAACGAGCGAAGTTGGGTTGTTTTGGGATTAACTTAGATCGGAAGCAGTATCCAAGCTGTGGGCCATACAGAGAACCCAGATAGCCTGGTGGGCTGGGTAGATATACTTGGCAGTAGAAGTGGAAATGGTCTATTAAGCTTTGGCCCTTTACTC